AGATTCCCTGCTAACTTATTATATAGGTAATTTTAGCAAAAGGAAAATTATTAACTAAACGCTATTAATATAGCAAAATGTATAACTATATCAAATAATTGAAGGAATTATTATCTTGTAGTCGATGGCATTGTATCAGGAACTCGATGAACGACAAAAATTTATACGAATGTAATTCAATGTATTATATTTAAGATAGGTTATTGGATCTTTATCATTATCAATATATATTACACAATATTTCCAAATCGTAATTTGACAATGAGTCATGGAGATGTCAACCATAAGGAATGCCGATATACAAGGATACAATAGTAGTGAAAGTGGATTAATTTAAGCTCCAAGTTGGAAGGCTTTGAAGCGAAAGTTGAATGAATAATCCTTTACAGACGGCTCTGTCTCACAGAGCCGATGGGACAATGCAAGTTTTCATGTATATCTACACAAAACGGTGTGAAAAACATTTTTTTATTTAGTAATTACATTAAACCATTTTTGTAAGAATCGGATGACGCTCGTGCACTGCTCTCTCCAATTCATTGGTTTTTTATCTAAATAAGCCAGGCGCCCGAGTAGACATGTATCATGATTAGATACAAACCACAAAAGATTTTTGATAATTTATTAAATTATTTTTCCTTACTTATGTACTCAGATTTTTTTAATTATTGCATTTTAGTAATATTTAAACACCACTTATTTGTAACTTAGCCACTTAACTTACCACTTAGTTGTATATCCTACCTACGACAGAAATAGTAAATGTTAATGCAACATTTCTCCCAAGCTAAATCTAAATTATTGTTTCTTAATATTGATTAATTATTAAATAAGCGTTTATTATGGGTATACGTAAATATATGAAGTTGTACAGTAAGACAATGTGCAAACATTGTAAACTTTTAAAGACATATTCTTTATTAGACATTACAAAGGTTGCACAAAGTCATCGTGTAGGTAGTGTAACATTATCAAGTAATCGCATAGCTGTGGTGACGCACAATGAATTGTTTATTACTTGTTTTTTATACTGTTGGTAAACTTTCTTACAGCGAATATGTATGTATTCTGTTTAATTTATCAGATGATATCGACATTTTAGTTATAGTAATATTTTACAGGCCCGGCAAAAGTGAACACCTTAAGTTTTGATTGGCTATGGACAAAAAAGTAATAGACATAGAATAAAAATAACGATTACATATCAATATATATAGAGTACATAATAACAATTCACAAAAATAATGTTTTAACTCAATACTTTCCATATAGCAACAGGTGCTTCTATCCGCTTTGCCTTACCCTCCACGGATAGCTCCATACAGTAGTGTACAAAGACGTTCAAATTAAAATTTATTTAAGAAGAAAATTTTCGATTTTTACTATACTAGCTTTCCGCACTTGTGGTACTGTATACATTTAAGTCTTCCTTTTGATCCACTCTGTATATTAATGAAAACTGTATTGAAACCCGTTGAGTAGTTTAATACATCTCAGCGTACATACGGAGGGAAGCGACTTTGTTTTATACTATTTATGTATAGATGACTACAAATCAGTTATGTGGCCTATTCAAACCTTTATGGAAAATTTCTTTCAATTTGTTAAGAATTTCGTATATGTAAATAAAATCAATTGGTAACATTTTCTTTTTCTATTCATAATTTTTTTTTTTTAAATTAACGACGGAACTTTCCCTTTTGTAAGCTCATTCTGCCATATTTGAAAAAGGAGTTTTCTAAAATTTGACCCGTCAAATTAAGTGTTTGATGAATAAGTACTTTTAAGGCAGTGGATTTAAACACCAATCAAACATGATTATACTGTTTAGCTAGACACTACTACCAGAATTACTTGCACAATCGTCACAATACTGTGACGTAAACGAACCGATAAACTATCAAATATAAGTCCATTGCGAATCAATTTTAACTGGCCTTCTCAGTTATTCTACCCATGAGGGGTGACAAGGCGTTTATAAATTAACTAGCCGTTTTCCTGCGTAAATTATACTTAACACTAGCTTATGATGTAGCTTGCTAGAATTTTCATAATCTGATCTGATTCTTCCGAGTACTTTCGAAGATTATTCCATACAAACAAACAAAAAAAGTTAGGAAATTTTCTTTTTCATTTAGACTAGCTTTCCGCCAGCGACTTGACTCGTATGGTTTCGTATTATACCAACATTCAGTGTACAGACAGTGGGAAGCGGCTTTTGTTTTATACTATGTATAGAAGTATAGATAGTGGAATATGCAAAAAAACAGCACTGTAACCGCGAGCAACAGCTAACAAACATAATGTGCGATACCTCAGTCACTTTCCAACAGAGTCAATGAAGCGGGGAGAAAGTGGAGACCCCAACGTCCGCGTACACAGACGGCAAAAATCCGTCGACTCATATATCACATCATCGTTTCATCATGATACACATTATGTGCGCTGGTAATCTGATAGAAGGCGAGAATGTCGAAAAAATTACCATGAGTCTACATATTTTATGAATGACGTCGACCACGTTTACACTTTGTAATAATCCCTACACGTGGCTGCATGAAGGTTTTATTAACCTAATTGTCTTTTATTTTCGAGTCAGGAAATGAACTTTTCTTTAGCGTCGCGGGTCTGGTCGGATATGCATTGGTTTTAGAATTTATTATGCTTGCAGATATAATAAATTCATATTTTATTTTGGGATACATCTTCTTGACTTATGAGGGCAGTTCTTTAAACTCTCGTTACGTTATTCCATATGTTAATAATAATAAAATTTTTAACGTCAGTTCGTCGTGAAATCTCCATAAAGATAGCTGTGCAAACGTGACTATAAACAAATAATAAATTATTCAATAATATACTAAATGTAAATTTGCACGTGCAAATAAAGTCAAGAATTGGGGCTAAATAAAAGAAATACGTTTTTGGCTTTTGTTACGTCAGAAAATATATTTTTGTATTTTACACAGATACAGTAGTTGAATTAGATACTGAACCCACGACCGAACTCGTAGCTATAGGTAGGTGGGACCAACATTTAATATTATATTCAATTGTGAATTCAATTTGATTTAAAATTTAAAAAATATAGTAATTTTATAACTGTTAAAAGTGTATTGAAAAAGTGAACATAAAATTATCTCCATGAAGTATTTTATGATTCCCTAATCCTATTTTATATCTAACCTACTTTCTCTGTGATTTTACTTCGATTATTTTTTTATATGTGTCAAACCGAAACTGGAAAGTTTTATAGAAAAGTAGTAAAACATTTATAGCGCGTTTCCCACAGGGAAGAAGCAATGGATTAACCTATTACTTTAATAGTACTTATAACTTTCTTGATGGAGGTTAATTTATTATGAGATTGAATGTACCTACCCACATTTTAGTTTATTCTTTACGTGAGGATGTCTATAACTTTCACAACATAAATTTTAGAGAATAAAATTGATGTTTTTATATTTAATACCAATTGCTAAGCCGGGGAACTTTGTTACGCCTATTTGTATGAGAAAAATATTATTTTTATTTAAGTATTTACTCTCAAATTTCCAAAATTGCCATCAGTTTTTCAAAAATAAAAGAATAGTATTAGCTCAGCTATTCTTAGCAATACATGAGCTTTGTACTTAGCAATACATCTAGCGATACATTGTTATTGTTTAGACAGATGATATATTGCAAAGATATTTTTATTGAAATTGAGACAGAAAAAGAAGCTTTCAGACAGGTTAAATCAAAGTGCTTATTTTTCCGTTTACGAGCATGTTTACAAATCCATGTCTTAATTAAAAAAGTTAAAATGTTAACTGAAAACAAATTGTTTCAAGAAACAATAAATACAAAGATTGATCGCAGGCTAAACAAACGCTTTATGAAATTCTACTGCTCCTTTTGAACGCTTTCTTTTTAAAATTATTACCGCACGCATTGTGCCAGTTCTTATCAACTCGAATAGTTATCTAAAAGCGTCGTGAGGATTCCTTTTTATTATTATTTCACTTTTTTCTCACATGTAAGTTGCAACTCATTGTGCGAAACAGTTGACGAAATCTACCGTTACCGCATTCGTTTTATGTTCGTAAGTTTCTAGAAATCGAGATAATATTTTCGGTTTATGGAATTTCTGTTTTAATTTATAATATGAAGGGATTCAATTTATTACTACGCAGTTTCTATTTCAGTTCGGAACGGCTGAAGAAGTTTAGCAACATTAATATTACGTATATTTTTGTCCTGTATGTTTCCAAAGAGTACGTAATGAAGTTGTGGTCAAGAACGAGTTTGTATTGTATCAAAGCACTAAATGATGTTATGAATGGGCATTTAAATATATTAAAAATGATATAAACTTATAATTTCATGAACTAAAGATACTTTTAATTTTAATTCTAACTTAGAAATATTACATGTGACCTCTTTCGTAATTTATTTTCTTAAAAATTACATAATGTAACTTAACACAAAAATATAATAGGTAATCGATAAGAGTTAAAAAACTAATACGAGTAGGTATTTTGTCCCTTTATTTCCAGTGTAATATTTTGCAATCAATACCTCGAGGTCTTTGTTTTGCATAAATATTAATTATCATATATGATAAATGTAAGGCAAATAACTTTTACACTTAATATGTCACTTGAATTGACGATATTTTGCTTTATTAAAATTATTTAGTTTACTCATGTGATCTGACGAATAATATTGTGCGACGGACGAATGACGCCACACATACAAAGGAAATAATAACACATTATTGATCAACATTAATGAACAACAGCTGAAAGGTCACTAGTCTAATATAAACTACAAATTTGTTTTGATAACATACCTATGTGTAGTTTTTGAATTGTTCTACATTCAGTTGCAACTAGACATTCGGAGTAGTCACAACGTTTATAATAAGTTCGTTATAAGTAAACCAAAGATACACACAAATCATCTAAACTTGGTATGTTTAAATACCACAAATATAACAATAAAAAATATTGTTACAGATATTTCCCCCTTCTCTCCCAGTTATGATTACAAGATTGCTATGGCTCATACTACTGATAGCTATTATCAAAATTACGACGACATCAGGTACGTTCACCATTTTATTCATTGATTCAAACAATTTTTTTCTTTTGATTTATTCTTATACACAAAATATATTTCTAATGTTTTTTACATTTTATAGGTAGTCCTATATTTTTAAAACAAGGTAGATCAATAAAACCTGTGATTAAATGGAAACCACCGAGGGACAATTGGAATTGGACAACAACTGTTCGAGATGAGGAGCCATTCTTTACGCCGTCTAACTTTGTCCATAAGCTGCCACCGTCAGCTAATGAGACAGAACTTCTTGCACATATGTCAACGCTGAAGCGTAATTATTCACGCTTATTATGGGACAGTGACAAAAGCACTAATTTACCGTTGTTCGTAGAAAAGGCTCTGAAACTTCTTAATTTGAAACAAGTGTATTATGAAGTGGAGCACTCTGTCATGTCCAAGGTTTCTTGTACCGCGTGTAAAGCTGGCGCGGGGCTGTTGCAACATTACATTCAGCTTGGCAAGAGCAAGGAGGAAATCAATAAGATGATCTTCCAGTTTTGTGTATCTCTAAATATTCAATCTGCTAGAGTTTGCGAAGGAATAACAAGACTTTTTGGGGTAAGAATTCGTTTTCTTTTTTATTAACACATTTTTCCTTATTTAATGATTCACAAGTTAGATAACAACGAACAACATGGACAAACGGTTCCCCGAAAATGATGTTTCTGAAAAGAAAGTGACGTTAACTATGCATGTTCGATACGAAAATTTAACGTGCTAGTGTTTAGCAACGTTTATGACGTCACAGTGGTCAAATAAAGAGTATTGATATTGTTTAAAGTCTGTGAAGTTTTGAAAATATTAGGCGCTACATTAGAAACTAACCTTATCCAAAACAAAACGCAAAATACTTCGCCGAAAATAGTCAACATTGTTCTAATTTTAATTTTATATTCCAGAGCGAAGTTGTGTATGTGTTGGAACGCATAACGATCGGTCCAAACGAAATATGCAGTTTCGTAATAGGAGACGCATGTGGTGACGTTTATAATCCATATCACGAATGGGAAGTTGCATTCCCGCCGGTGCCGAAACCTCCAGTGAGAGCCCTAGGTGTGCCTGTGAATACAGAACAAACGTTCAAAGTCTTGCAAATATCTGATACGCACTTCGATCCATATTACGCTGAAGGTATGTATTATATAATATAAAGTATCGCTAGCGATAATATATTGTTTATAATTCACAATAATCACGGGTGTAAACAGTAAACCAAAATAAATAATTTTTTTTCTTGTAATGTTTATTATATGTATATAACAGTCACACTTTTATGCTTATTATATTTATAATTTTGCTTAAACCTTAGATAATTCAACTTTATGCTTACATAGAACGATATACGTTTCAGAGTACCATGACGTCATAGTGACGCCAAGACAGAAGTGGCGTTTTCGCGGGAAATTTTGAAACTGATTTTTTTTAGATTTTAACTTAATATATGAACGGTATTTTATCTTAAATATTTTTAGATATCATGTACCTACTCGTATCATGCATATCTATAAAATAAAAATTTAAATAAAGTTTTCTACACCCGTAGTTAATAAAAAGCACACTTTTATGCTTAATATAAAGCCCATAGATTCGATTATACCATTGATATCAAAACTATGGCTATTTGCACAAAACAAAACCAGTTGTTACTTGTAAATCTTCTTACGATAAATATTTATATTTGGTTATATTTTAATTAGCAGTCCTAGAAATACTTTTTACGTATATCACAAAGCATCATCTCCTAATAAATGTATTGGTGTCGTAGGTGCGAATGCTGAATGCAATGAGCCGTTATGCTGTCGTGTTTCAAGCGGGCCGGCACTGACTCCGAGTGGAGGTGCCGGTCGATGGGGAGACTATCGCAAATGCGACACTCCGAAACGTACCATTGACCACATGTTGAAACATATCGCTGACACACACACCGTACGTATCTTGCAACTTCCGCAAACAATTACCAGAACTAATAATCATTACATTACGTAGTATCAACTCTTTGGTGCTTGTTCATAAATATGTACCCTGTGTACAATTCGATGAGTGATAAACTTAAGCCATTATTTTTTCCAGGACATAGACTATATTCTTTGGACGGGCGACTTACCCCCTCATGATATATGGAATCAGACAAAAGAAGAAAATTTGAAAGTATTGCAAGAGACTGTGGCGCAAATGTCGGATATGTTTCCAGGAGTTCCCATTTTCCCTGCCCTCGGTAACCACGAAGCATCTCCAGTAAACAGGTGGGTTCACATGATGTGAATTGGTATAAGGATAATAATAAAATTGGTCCTATAGTTTACGCTGGATTATTCACAACGATTACCATAATGCCGGATATCCGTTCAACTGATTGTGATTCTTTATAAGTGAGATTTTACGATATAAAATTATATATATTCAAATACAGTTAAAAAATGTTCCACGTAGGTACCTAATATTAAATCGTTCTACCATTTAACCAGCTACCTACTTAGTTCCGAAAATCTATCAAATTTCTTCAGTTTACGTCGCTTACAGCTTTGAACAATCATTATTATATTTTTTTTTTACACAATGGTTACTCAGAGCTGTAAACGTAATAAATATCAGGTATTTGTTACAAGTAGGTAGTAGTTAACTACATAAATTATTATCTAGTATTTATGTAACTAATTGCCTACCTATAACAAGTACTTATGACATAGAAGTGTCAGGATTTTGAGATGAATTTTATTATATCTTAGACAATATAATATCTATTATATTATTAATATACATAAATCTGTGTATTTTTCATTTATTCTCGCGTTATTACTTACTATTTTATTATGGTCTAGGTGTATTTTGATATCTGATATTATAGCTCTACAGATTTCGTTACCTATATCCAATTTGAACATTTGACTATTACAGTTTCCCACCACCATATATATCGTCACCAGACCTGAATATAGCGTGGTTGTACGATGAGCTCGATTCTCAGTGGCGGCGGTGGTTGCCAGCGGGCGTTTCACCGACAGTGAGACGTGGTGCCTTCTATTCGGTCCTCGTGCGACCCGGATTCCGAATCATCTCTCTCAACATGAACTACTGCAATAACAAGAACTGGTAATATTATAATTATCGTATTATGTAAGTAAATGAGCCAACAGGTAACTGGCATTTCAAATGATATTTCCGGTTACCTTAACACGGTTTTAACAACGAAAAGGTATTAATTAAATGATGTAGTTTAAATATAGAATTGTATTAAAAAAAAAAAAACAAAAATCATCCGCTTGCCTTGCAATGATAAGTTTCTTTTCGAAATCTATAAAACAGGTTTTGTATAATTTTAGATCTTCCTAAAACTGTCTTTCTTTATTGGTAGGTGGTTATTAATGAACAGTACGGATCCTGCAACAGAACTACAATGGCTTATATACGAACTACAGACGGCAGAGTTTAGTGGTGAAAAGGTGCATATTATTGGTCACATACCTCCCGGTCACTCTGATTGTTTGAAGATTTGGAGTAGAAACTATTACGCTATTATCAATCGATACGAATCTACTATCACAGCCCAGTTCTTCGGACACACTCACTATGATGAATTTGAAGTTTTCTACGATCCCAATGATCTAGGCAAGGAAAATTACGATGTAATTAGTAAAATATTTTTTTGGACCGAGATAGTTCCTCAATGAAATGTTTATTATTTTACAGGAAGAGCAACGAGTATTGCTTATGTGGGACCTTCTGTATCACCATATTATGACTTAAATCTTGGATATAGAATATATTACGTTGACGGAGACCATTCGGCAACTACTAGAGTAAGTATCTATTTCTTTTTTACATTTTTTTTTCACGAAAATGTTCGGATTTCCTAATAACTATGTAAGGTACTTAAGTGTGTAGATATTATTAACTATAATACTCCATCGCACAGTTTATGAATAAAAGTTTAAATATTTTTACTCATATTTTCGTACGTTTCCTCTATATATTATCAATAATGTGTCTATGAAATATAACTTATGATTGTAAGCATATTATACAGCTAGTGTAGGTCAAGAAGCTAGTGTAGTGTAGGTCGCATTGCCATTGACATTGATACACTTTCCCACGGTTCTTGAAAACGTAATTAGAATTTCACTCTTCAGACATAAAATTGTACTACTCGGTTTATATTAAAGTAGAGTTAATTCAATCATTGATACATCAATTTAGATTTAGTAGTAGATAGAAATGAGCTCTACTGACAGTCTTAAAATGGAATCATGATAAAACGTAAATTAATCACTTACAACATGAATTAATGTGAAATTTAGCCCGTTAACTGTAGTTTAACTTGATACGTGATACGATTTTAAAATCTATGATTTTATTAATGTTTATTATAACTCTTTCAGCAAGTGATAGACCACGAAACGTGGATTATGAACCTGAAGGAGGCGAACCAGTTCGGATACCCTATCTGGTACAAGCTGTACTCAGCCCGTGCCGCTTATAGGATGCCAGCACTCCGGCCACAGGACTGGGATCGTTTCATAGACAACATGACCTCCAACGACGATGTATTCAACCTCTATCACAAGTACTATTACTTTAACAATATTATCTATATCCATATCAAGACAAGTAAGTCTAAATTATATTTAGCTCACCCCAATGTCGTCTTTAGTATGGGACTAATTAAATTAGCCCCGTCCAGCATATCGAGCAAATACTTTACCGATTACCTTTTCATGCGAGCGTAGCGCGAATTAAATATAATGTAGATATATAAGTGGCAATTTTTAAATACCCACTTAATAGTAGAAGAAGTTTAAGTTCACTTCTTAAGTTCTCAACCTTACAAGAAATTAATAAAAAAAAAATAACAATTTATTATTGTCACGAAACAGAAGCGAAGAAAAATTTAGTTCGTTTTTTATTTGTAATTCGATCTAGCCTAAGGACATAAATGAGTTCTACCGTGGAACGAGCTTTGTTTAGATATACTCGTAAATTACATATGTACTTAAACATAAGGATATTAGAAGTAAAGTTTCAATGAAGAAATAGTGCAATAAGTTTGAGGTAAAAGTTTTCCTTTAGACGGATTAGGTGATACTTTCCATAGATTAAAAACTTTGAATATGTTCCATTTCAGACATTACTGGAAAAATAGCCCTCGTCGCGGCATCTGCAACAGCGAGTGCCGCAAGCGTTTAGTCTGCGACGCTAGGTCGGGCCGATCGCATGACCGACGTGCGCTTTGCGGTCACATAGAGGCGCGCATCGACGGCGCCACCCCAGCGCCTCAGACGTGGCGCGCTTGGTTCTACAACGGCATTTCAGTTTCGTGAGTATAATAAATAGGTCCATCTAACCACAACGGTAATGTACACTGTAATAAGCGCTCGCAGTACACAGTACCATAAAATCGTACTAAACGCTTTCTTTATACACTTAAACATTGTAAATATTTAATTAGATGAAAAATTAATTTCAGTTCTTCTAAGTTACTTAAAGAGGGCGTTCTTTTTGGCTAACGATCGTACGTTATCCGCTGAACTATGCTTTACCTGACAAAGGGCCTCTAGCCCTTCGTGTTGTTGTAGCCGCTATGGCCAGTAAAACATTCAAAATTAACTTTTAGCTTGGCCACATTGTTGCATAATCAAATCAAGAGATTTGTATTTGACGCTTCACGCAGAAAGCACATCGTCAGCCCATTAGGACGACGCCTTATAAAATATCCTCTAACCCTATTAGTAGTATCTAGGTACTTACACTGGTTAAAAAGCTTTTGCAGCACCATAATATAGCACAATAAGTAAGTTTTCTTGAAACAGCTAAAATTTTGTAAATACTTTATTAAATATAAGTTTTCTAATTTAGTTCTTCTAGTGAAGGGTACGTATCATTATTAAAAGTTTACTTTTAAAGTTACATGAATAACGTGAGTTTGAAATCAATACATAGTTTAAACCAAAGTCGCTTTCCGTCTTGTGTCTTTAAAAATTCGTAACGGATTTTGATGCGGATTTTTTTAATAAATAGGGTGATTCAAAAGGAGGGTTTTTATGTATAAAAACCTTCCTTGCGGAGCATTTCGATAAATATTACTTTCGTCAGTTTTTAAATCGTGTCAAATCGTCAAGGCTTAGTTACAGTACCTAATTACTTTGAAAAACCTTAATGATAATGTTTTTATTGTTTTGTTGCCCTTATATTTGTTGCGAATATATCTAAATATCACTTTGTTATATTAAGCCAAATTAATAACCGATTAGTATACTTATTATTGATATACGTATTACTTACTTATATACTTATTCTCGCGACTTTGCCCGCGTAAATTTTAATCATCACCAGCTTAGTTATGACCACAGGTTATGACGTAGTTTATGGTAGGTAAAAGAAGTTTTCAAAACAATCAAATCTTACTTCATTATAATAGTACTTAGTATAGATGCAATATTTAAATTGATTATAGAGTAAAACACTTCGAAAATTCACCGAGCACTTTAGTATATTCTGTTAAAATACAGCGATGAACGCAACCACGAATACAGCTCTTAGATTAGACTTAAATAATGTTCTTTTTAAAGCTAGGTCTTAATTCTAATAAATAAGCAGCTAATTACATTATTTATCGCACGATTGACACCATTAACAACAATACCTTGATTATTAATGTTCACTTAACATAATAGGTATAGGTATGCACCCGATCCATGTTCACTTAGTGCTCGGTCACAAGGAAACAAGGTTTTTTCAATTTCCCCAAGGATTGTCATTTGTAAGTATAATATTAATTAGAAAAATACTTTATTTATTCATTTAAGGATAATTGATTATTTTTTTTGGGTACGTAAGTATAAGTAATAGCACATACAGATGACAACCTGGCACCTACTTTTAACACAAACTTATTCTTTGGTGGTCGTTTATGGTGATATAGTTTGTTAAAATGTATTATATTTCTTTGTGTACAGACCTAGTCCTAGTGTACAGCAAGTATAAACGGTGGTGGATGTAACAATTAGGGTACCGATGCAGATATTTAATAAGGTGGGTATGAATTTATTAATCTTCATAGATAAATTTTGATATTGGAGACGACATTTCCTGTAGGCAGCGAGAATCTAGTAGATATAAATAGGTAACAGTTAAGGAACATAGGTCTGCAATATGGCACGCCTGCCAGACCTCGTTTAGTATAGGGCGGTCGGGTATGTTAGGTTAGTGTAGGACCGTCGCAGTCATCAAACAAACCTATAGTAACAAGGTCTGGCGGGTATGTCTGCAGATTTGCCCGTCTAGTGAATTTCCCGCTTAAGCAACTTTCATAAAAGTCGTTTATAGGATGGGTGATTAAACATTTTTTTTATCTCGAGCTTCTTCGTCATTTGGAAAGCACGTAAAGCAGTTGATCCCAGCTGCATTTGCAGTCGCTAACACCCACCAATCCACATGCCATGACCAGTGGGTCATGGCCCATTCTCCCTATTCGATTCCACCTATAGGGAAGGTCTGAGCTAAAAGAGTAGGGACATTATTACTATTCGTACAGTTAGTACCGAGATCTCAATAGGGATGATGACTAATTTTTGTTTGTTTGTCCATCAGGTAGAGTTTAAAAAAAAAATTAAACACGTATTTTTTTATTTTTTTCGTAATCATAAAATTACGGCGTTTCTTTGAGTTGAAATTTCGCATGACATCACGTTAGAGTACGTTTTCTACTCAACTGTGACGTAACGAGCCCCCACTCCTCAACTTTAATGCCTGTTATCTAAGCTATTTCTTGTTAAATTTAAGTAAAAAAAATATTTTTCTATTATCTGACTGACGGACTAAATAGAATTGCATTTTTTTTACCCAATCATCATCCCTATTATGATTAACATTAATCTTAATATTCCCTCTTCGTTTATTTTTAGTTATGGTCTATTACAGTTTGTTGGCGTAGACCAACAACACATGAATAATAATAATATGTAGATAAGACATTTAATATTTATTATATTATTGTTAACACGAAAAATGTCTCTGAAATTCTCCTTAAGCAGTCATTTGTGTAAGTTAAATTCTTCATAATCGGATCAATAATAAAAAAATTGAACATTAAACGAGTTTTAAAAGTGTTCATATTCTATAATTTCAGGATGTCAATGATAATGCAATTGCCGCAAGTGGCGTATCAGATACCAAAGTTTGTGATGGGTCTCGGCTGAAACGAACATTGACGAGGAGATGAGAAAGCAATCTAACGTCACCACCAGACAAGCCATCGCCGACATTTTAATATTATTTATTATAACCTGCTTTAAAATCGAACAAATACGTATGATTTATTTACCATACGAAATCGGATTGTTAACAAATTCAAGACGTAGTCGAAAAACCTGTAACTTATTGTTAATGGTGGTCTATTCTTGTATCTCAATTTATTTATTATTTTTTAAGATTTTTGTAAATATAACTGTAAATTCGTAATAAAATATTTTTAAAAAGCATATTGTTTTAATTGAAATAAAACGTTAAAATACGGTGTTTCTCCAAAATATTTATTCGAAATTACATACTAAAAAATGACAAGAGAGCTTTTCAAGCGTACAATTATTAAAATAAAATAATCAACACATTATTTACACCAAATAACTTAAATTATAATTGACCAATTAACTGTAATTGTAGATTAATAATAATAATGTCGACATAATATTCTATGTAGTCACAAAATGCATACAACGTAGAACCCTTATTGGATTGATCTTTCGCTAACTGACAGTGATAAAGAGAAAAAAAATGACATGGTCCTATGGTATATACATTTTATTGTTAATGAACTGGCTGAGAAATGCTGAGGACATATCTGCATGAAACATACATGAATGCATGCGTGAAAGTGCGCTATATTATAGAATAGGTCCAATTATGACGACACGATAAAATTCACAGTGGCACACTAGATCATAAAAGAAATTAAACTAAATAACTCATACTGGTGCAAAATAAATAAAATCATTTAACATCATAGTCCCTCAGTTGAAGAAATAATATTTACAAATTACAAACATTTATTATTAACACAAATTAGAGCTAACAGTATTAAATGAAATCTCCATGTTGTTATAATATAAGCAAGATAAATGCTTCAGTTTTTATTGTGTTCTACGTGACACTTAAACGAAGATAGTTTTATTTTTTGTTTTATGTGTTTGGACACATATTTCGCTTAACCAGGATCTGTTTGCTGTTAACATAAGTTTCTTTTTAGTTCAAATATCGGAACTTATATATTACTAGACAGTATTGATAGCTTAGTAAACGATATGCAGGAAGTCCATATAATGGAATTTTAACATTATGAGAAAAAAATAATTAAGATGTCAATGTTTTGCAATGATGAAGATCAAGATCTCAAATCCACATATGTTAAGGTAATAATAGTGTTTCAATTGTGTTACTGAATTTTGTGCACGAATTGTATGAATATGAACCGATCCTTAAAGTAATAAGGTCCGTAACCGAAAATAATTTGAAAAGGTTATTGGCACGCAACGAATTTTTTGAATTTTTTTTTTGAATTTTCAAGTAAATACCTATATGAACACCAAATAAATATACTGTCACTTGTATACAAAATTGGAACGAGTACGATGTAGGGATAGGTAATGAAATGCCTTACTTTAAAATTTTTATAAAATAAAATACAACGAATAACGTATTTATATGGAAAACGAGAAACTAAAGCGTTTAAACTGCAATTAACAGGTTAACCGGGATATGTTTTTAAAATTCATCAAGTCGATTTTTGTAGTTCACAGCAAAGTTTACTCAAGTTTTATATTTATTAATTCATGAAATTAATTTGATTTTTAAAACAGTTATGTTAAAGATATTCAATCAGATATGCGTGTGGATAATAATTATTAATTACATCAGTGCCTATTATGTTTGACTGATCTAGTTGAATGTCTGTTAAATGAATCTGTTATGTTAAAATGGCCACTATATAGCCAATCTATTATACATATTTGAATCAAAATCGAGTTTAAGTTACAGGGCCAGATTTTAAGTGGGGGGGCACTTGCCCTGGGCGCGGGTATCAAAGGAGCAACAAAATCATAAATTTTAAAAGTAAAGAGCCAAAAACTGTTTTTTTTTTTAAATTATATTAAGCTACGTAAGGACGGGCATATTTTCAAAGTCCCTAAATGAAATTAAAAAAAAGGAAACACTATAAAGTTTAGCCCGAAACAATGGCAAATGTGGCATAGCTACAGTTGTGTAGAAGAATAATGTTTACACTAATGTACAGTACTACCATTTTTATAAGTAGCATCGGGAAAATAGTACTCTAAAGCCGATGAAATTCGTGTTCCAATACTCTTGAAATGTTGCCTTCAAAGTTAATTAGACCGATTCGTAATAGATCTCGCGACTGTCCAGTCAATTGTCACGCACGACGCACGACGCAGCGGGCATCGTATAGTCTCAATTCTGCTAATTTTTAATAACCGCATCAAAATAGAATCTGAACTAATTTATCCTTGTACTATCTACTTGAAATAAAACCTTATTAGTGCAATGTCTTCTTCAAAGACCAATGGCGACAGTAGAAAAGAACTGTGTCATAAAGTGCATCATCATTGACTTTCCATAATAGCGCTTACATTAGCAGAATTAAATACTTATAATAACGGGTATTAGACGCGATTTTTACACTGATCTGCGCCGATGTTTCGGCCGTTGCACCAGCTGTGGTCACGAGACTGATATTCCGCACATGAGCAATAGGGACACCGTTAGTGTTGTTGGTGACGGTAGTTGGATAGAAAATCTGGGGGTAGAAGAAGATTCATCCTCGGATGCAGAAGCGTAGACTTGCTGCTCCACTCTCGTCGTAACCACGGCAGGTGCAACCCGGTCTAAACATTGGCGCAGGTCAATGTAAAAATCGCGTCTATAACCCGTTATTATAAGTATTTAATAATGCAGCGCGATAGTTTAAAAGTGAATATTAGCAGAATTGTCTACGAGACGCGCACGCATCAATCAATAATAAATGACATGGCTCACAAGCCGACGCAAACCGTATGATTGGCTATAATTGTAACTTACAAATATGGTAATACTGTACATATATTTGTGTCTTATGCTGCCACATATTTGAAGCCTACAAACAGCTAAGGGATATCTCACATAAACGTATTTATGTAGTGATAAATGTCTCAATAAAACACTGATGTCTGGTTTCACTAAACTTAGGGATTGCCCAAATCTGACGCCTAAATATTAAGCAATCGCTTAAGGTGATAATGTGTTTCACCGATTACTAAGAGTCACCTAACAACATTAAGCAACGCCTAAAATTAGGACATGACACTAGGCATTTGCGTAATATGACATATCACAGATGTATCAAGGGATAGAAAACAATTTCTTTATTTGGGATAAAAAAAAAATTACACAACAACAACGGATTTTAATGCGGTTTCATGAAGAAGATGTATTTGTATAATACAGTATGTACCACGCGGGCGAATATGCTGGCGGAAAGCTAGTTTGGAATAAATCCAAAAAATTTAATGGAGTCACCGAGTTTTGATTCAAACCAAAGTGAGCTAATCTTGTTTAGCTGAAACTAATTACTCATTGAAAATATGTGTGACCAAGATATATTTTGTTGTAATTTAAACGAAAACGTTTATTAACTACTGGAACAATCCTATAAGATCCAAAAATGTATTTTTGAAATAAGTACTGTCATTATATATATGTCAATAAATAGTAGCTGACCTGACAAACTTTTTTTTTATTCTTAACGAAAAATGCTTAAAAAATCCACTTGGTTCCTAGCACCCTGAAATGGGATTTTTCATTGTGGATAGCATTGTGAATGCGAAAGTGATCAAATATACGTTTTTTTGTCATTTAAATTTGGTGTGGACCGCCATTTGTCACTTAGGATAACTAAGTCAAGCTGTTTTGGAGGAGTATGGTAACTAAAATTGTGACAAGAGAATTTTATATATTAGATAATCCCATCTCCGGGTACCAGCAGACCCAGGTGTTTTTTAAACATTTTTATTTTAGATAGACTTTTTGAAGTGGAATTATCAATCTACTTTTGACGAAATCAAGCCTTTTTTGCCCGACTGAAGAATGATTACGTTTTAATCTGGTGAAATTATTCTGGTGTTGTTCCAAATTTAACTGAGTTACAATTTTAATGTTATAAGAAATCTGTTAATGTGGAATAGTCAAGTTTTGAAAAAACCTTCATATATAAAGTGTTGCACTTTCTTGAATCTTCTATGCTGCAGACATTTTATTACAAATTAGGTTAGTTATTACAAATAGATTCAAAATACAAGAACATACATCGTTAGATTTTCATTATTTTGAAAGATTTTGATTTCATATCCAGCAAAACACTGTTCATCTTTTTTAACTGTGGTAGAAATTGGACAAAATCAATCACGACTTGGCTTCCTTGTTAAAAAAGTACAGAGAATGCTTAAAAATAGTGTCATATTTAAATAATCTAATGTCGCGGTGGTATAGTAATATCGTTATATATTTTCATCCGAGTCTACATATAACTGTACGGCCATCGACGTCGATACCAATTAGGTTCAACGATACAATGACACAAAACTTGCTTCCTTTGCCGCTATATCTAAAACCATACATTCAATTTTTTTGAGACAAAATAAACAAATTTAATTTATAAAACGGCGCAAGGGTTCTATTATTTATTTAGTTTAACATACAATGTTATCAATTTATTTGTGAATAGATAAAAGGCATTTTTTAATAATACATTTCAGAGTGTGATGTGTTATTAAACTGCAGTCTTGTTTATTATTATAGACCTAATATTTGTGCGAGTACTTACCATCATTTATATCAATAAAAATTACTACGCAAAACCAAAATTCGAAGTCAATAATAAACTACGAATTATTGAGATCAGTATGAGAGTAATTGTTTAAAATTCAATTAAGTAAAAATATAAAATTGAGTCAATTTATTTATGTTTAAGAATGTATGAAACATTTCGGAATGTAAGAAATTATACATACAATCAATAATAAAAATCAATTATCGTAAAATTAACTTATAATAATGAGTTATATATCTAAAACTTAAGAAATAGATTTTATATTCATAATTAAGATAATAGATGTCCCTGATGAAAGTAATATAAAAATATCTATTTTTCTTATGTAGCATTTTGACTATTAATATGAATTTGTGAAAATATTTAAAATACCATTAAAAAATATTGTTATTTACATGTATTAATCCACATTATGAATATAAAATTTTTAGGGTGTGTTTATATTAACATGGTCTGACAGAACCTCATTTGTAAAGGTAAAAACAGGTACTCTTTTAATAGTTCTGACGCCACCCAGGAATGCCTATAGGCCATATTTACAGGAAAAACATTACTGACATCAAAATTTTATTGTATAAATGGCATTAAAATATCAGTCTAAATGTTGCATATTACTAATAGAATGGCACTATTATGATGCATACATGCTAAAAAACAGCCATGAATGATTATTAGACACTATTAATAAGTAGGTTTACCTATTCATCAGTTAAGCATGTATACTGTCACAGTAAATGGAAATACTTTTATTAATAATCTCACATGGAATTAAAAATGACTGTGGTTAGTGTCAAATGTGTATCTTTGGAGGTTGCTAACATTATAAAGAGGTTAGCTCTACATTGATTATTACACTGATTATCTTTAACGAAAAAGAATAATTATTTAGGAAAAAAAAAAACACTGGCTTTTATAACTGAGGCATTTGATTTCTTAAAAAAGGAGTCTTTTTAATTTGTTTTTACTTTTAGTGGAACTCACAGGGCATATATTTTTCTTTCTTTTACTCGGACTAGGTCCATCAATAAGGTCGTATTGCATACAACTTTTACCTGGATGCCTGTCACACTTGCACAGCCTGCAGAACTGATAGGCACATGAGGAGCTTGTACATTCCACCCATTCTTCACCAGATGTTTCTGTTGTTATCTTAGCAGGATGTCTACAGTTGACACAGGCCAACTGGATGCGATCATCCAAAGATGCTGCCTGAAATTGATGACAATAATATTATTTATATATGTCACTGTTTCACTGTGGCCACCATTAATTTACATTCTTTTTCTTTCTCTAGATCAGCAATCTACATGCAACTGTCTTATTTGCAAATTATTATGAAGGGGTTGTGATTTCAAAAGCTGAAAAGGTTTGCTAAGCAGTTTGTTACAATTTTTGATGGCATTTACATGCAAATCAACTTTTCAATTATTTCTTATTAAAAATTAATTTATTACAAATATGTTACTCAGCTCACACCTATCTTATAAGTATTTATATATTATATCCAACTAGAATTTGGATATAGCAATAACAGTTATATATTTATTAAAATATGTAACAAATCACAAAGAATGGAAATTTTGAATGAATGAAAGGGCATTAGTCTATTCTACCGTCTACAGTATATTGTGATGAAACGTTAATTGCATACGCAATCAGCAAGCTTTTGCTATTGAATGTATTAGTTTAAAATTTAATTGTTTGAAATTAATAAACTGTATGGCATTTAATTTAACATTATACACATAAGATACATAGCATAGCATTATAACAAAAGATATTAAAGCATTTAACTGTTAACACACTATAACTCACCTTTGTAAATTTGTTAAATCTAGTGGTACGAGGACTTCTAACAGGACTGCGAGGAGTGCTCACAGTTATGTTAAAATTCTGTATTTCTTTCAATGGTTTGATTTGGTTACTGCCATCATTCCTTGGCACTTCAAGTTGATCCCAATTTTCCAAATTACTCTTCACATTATTGAAAAAATTGTTGCAATTCAGCTTTGTATTTGTACTTTTGAAGATGTTACACCATATGGAACTGACTAAGGTGAAATTGTAAATATCTTCTTTAGATAAATAGCTTAATATTTTTCTGATGGATGAACTGCAATAATCTTCATGGCTGTACAAGAGCCTGATTATATCTATTTTCTGATTTGGTTTATATGCAAAAGAAATAGATTTGGGAGCTTTTGACAGAGTTTTTGATTCTAATTTGACTACTTGTCTTTCACATGATAATGAATGAATAGCAAAATCTACTTTTCTAGCAGATTTGCGACGATTAAAAGGACTTAAATTACAACTACTCTTGCAGATCTTCTTGATTGGTGTTGAAGGATGAGAGACATAGTAATCTTTGTAATATATATCACTTATTATTGTATCTATGTGACCTGATTCATAAGACGTTATAGATGAATTCAGCTTATTATCATGTACTTTTAATTTTCGTACTTCATTTGCTATGACACTTGTTGGTGTCGTAACACTGCTATTGATATCATTCGCTCCTTCATCGTCATATGGGCGCTTAATACCTCTTTTTGAGGAAGATGTGTTTTCGGAACTTACAGGAGAGTTGGTCCTATTGTTAAAGCATACAGTTAATGTTGATCGCACATCAGGTCTAGGTGACAGCGGATAACAATCTACTTGAATTTTGCAATAATTGGGCAGAACCAGGGATGGGTCTGGACTCTCATTAGTTAAAGAAGAACATTCCAACGACGGTGATGCAAACGAAGTGTGGTAACCGCTATCTTCAGTCTTGCAAAAACTAAGGTTCTTGTATGAAAGGGGTGTGGCGAGATCCCTACTGCTAGATTGGATATCCATGATGTAAGTTAACTAGCATTACATCCAACTATTAGACCTCAAAATAGTTTTGAAAATAGAGAAATTCCACACAAGTCACATCCATAGTAGAACTTTCATACACTTCCCGTCTTTATCTGATTAATCTGTAGTCCAAATTATTATCGTTCTTCAAATACGTACACAATAAAAAACTGTTTCGTGTTAACGTTTGTGGCGTCAAATTAACAGAAGCAACAAATAAATTACAATCACATAAACTAAATTGACATAAACGCAACAATCAATCCACAAACACGAACTCAAACTACTTATCGGCTCCATCCATTAAAATTATTCTCTATGCCCAATCACAAAGAGTAAAGAAACGCATTTAGTGCCATGGAGTAAGTTAGAAACATAAACCTAGTGCTTATAACAGGACAGAATACTCCCAGCTGAAAACCGAGACGATTGAGATATCAAGTATAGATGCTATTTGTCCCTTTCTAATAGAGAGAAAATAACATTTTATTTAAATGAGACTTTTCATATTATGGTTCAGTTTTTTACTACTGCAGCTATTATCAAACACAATAATCTTGTTAAACTTTTTTTTTATAAGCTTTTCCTGCAATTCGATATAGACGAGAGATAACGCATAAATCCTTATAATATGGATGATGAGATTGCACGATTACTTTACATTATTTCGTGTTTTAAACTCAAGTCGATTAAATACGATGAACGAAGCTTTGAACAACTAAACTTTTTTAAATAACTTCAAAAAAAGTAGGTTCTCAATTTGACTTGTATGTATGTTTGTGCACGATTATCTCACGTTTGGCTGAACCAATTTTGAAGTGGTGTTTGGTTTAGCATTTGTTAGGATTAAGAGAAGGTTTTGGGTAGATTCGCATTTTAACACGGTTTTAACGCAATTTTCAGTAAAGTATTTTTAGTGTTACCTTTTATATGTATATAAAATATCAATATCTAAGTGTAAAATAAAAACTTTAAAAAAATATAGAACTAACTTCAAACTTTAAAAAATGAGGGGGAAGCTTTCTGTAGTGTTATTTATTAAATGATAAGCACCCGACTTAATAGCATTTCTTTTAATATGCTTTTGAGATAAGTATAAATAGAACTTAGGCACTGGGTGGCAAGTTGCGGAAACAACCCATCGACAAGAAGAAGAAGAAGAGGAGGGTGTGTTTTACGTTTTTACAAAAATATTAGAAATGATAGGTGCGCTTCCTACTCTACTTTCTCTTAGTTTTATTGTAAAATTTTACTTATTTATATCGATATAGTTGGACGTAAGGATTCATAATAGCAAATCACACAACATAAAAATAAAACTAAATTTGTTCTTCATTCCGAAGCCGAATTCGAATGAATCAAGTCAATTAAAGTTACGAGCAACCAATAAGTTGGCTCATCACTAGTGTTGCATAAAAACAAGCATCGTTTCTTTACGCGTAATTTATATATCAAAAATTTGCAGTTAAAACATTTTTGATAGTTAGATATTAAAGAAACACGGAACAATGTCGTATTTATTAATTTTCAATACTCGATTTACTTTTAAGATCAGCAGGGAAATATGACAATATCCAAAAATCAGAAGTGACATCTAGTTCGCTTTGGAGAACTAACTTTATTTTTTTTTATTACTTTCTGTCTGTTGCTTTTTATGCTTAGAACATCGAACTCTCTTTTTTTAAATTGGTACAGAGAACAAAGAATCTCGGCTACTTGTGAATTAAGATATTGTGTTGTGTGTGTGTACAATAACTTTGTCGTTTTTTACTCTATATACATTAACTAGAGACATAAAGCCTTCTTCGATTGGGTGGGAAACTAGTAAGAGAACGGAAATAACTTCTTATAATTTTCATTTTATGCATATTTTAAATCACTCCGTATAGTTATGAACACCCGCATTAAAATCCGTTATGCAGATTAAAAACCTCAGCGTACAGACAACAGAAGGCGACTTTGTTTTATAATGTAGATATAAATATTTTCACTTCTGAATATTGAGCTCCTTTTTGGTTGGGAGGGCTCTATACTAGACTGATGTTAATATTGTAACTAGAGTATTATTGTTCTGTGATGGTAACACATCTCTGTGGGTGGGCAACACTGACTAACTGGCTGTCATTCTATCAAACAATAATTTGCTTGCGGAAATGGTTTTTCTTAATTAATAACTTAATTGTAAAAATTTGCTTCATATTAAATTATATTATGAGTTATCATGCGATAATTATGGAAGTAAACAATAATTGCTGAGGAGTGGAAACATTATTTTTTGTATGTTATTTGAAGCATCGTTAAACCACTAATATGGCTTTGGGAAATATTAAAGATTTTTGCAGATTATGTGCAAAAAAAGACGATTTCACAAAAGATTTATTTGAAGCAAACAATACTACTTTAAAGTTAATAAAGGATCTCATCCAAATACCTGTAAGTGCTAATAACTTTTTAAGGTTTAGTACATAAGTACCAAATATCTAAAACTTATAGTAGTATTAGTTTTTATTATGTTCACATTTTAAATAATATTTGTGAAAAAAATTTGCTTAATTTATTTATGTTATATTGGCAATTCTTGAAAATAAAGATGGATTTGTGACTATCTGCCCTAAAATATACTAAATAATATTTTTTAACCTTCCTGCTGGCAGAGCTGAATTGATAAAATCGCAAAAATTTTGGATTTACTTATCTTAAATATTATGGATTTGCAATAATGTAACAAAAGCATCATGTCATATATTCTTAATGAAAAATGCTTAAAAAATCCACTTGGTCCCTGGTACCCTGAGATGGGACTCAAACCCATGATCTTTGGCTATCCAACTGCTCTAACCACTGAGCTACCCAAGACCTTACAGGACTGACAAATATTTCAAGCACTTGTTACTTTAATAATCATATCATGTTTGTTGTGTTTAAGACATAAATTTCTTATAATATCAATAATTTGGTGCAGTCTCATTACCAGGTAAAAAAATATGAAAAGCAATTATTTCTAATGAAAATTCTTAAAAAATTCACCAGTCCCAGATACCCAGAGATGGGCACTCAAACTTACAACTTTTCCCAAACCGTGACTGCTCTAAAATCTTTGAGCTACCCGAGACCCAACAAGATTAACAAATCTTTTAAGCAAGAAGTGGTCATTTGGTCCTTTAATTGTATTTGTCCTGGCCTGGCTCCGGCAGTGAGTACAGTAATAGGCTGATTTTTGTATAATGGATGCTGAACAGTAGCTCGATCTGTGACATCTCTAAAATTCACAAAGTTATTGTGAAGTTATAACATAATCTCAATCAGTTTATTTTATATTTTCAGATCAATGAAAATGATGAACTACCAACAAGAATTTGTTTGTGTTGTGAAGAGAAAATAATTTCATTTCAATTATTTATTTTAGAATGTTATAAAGCACAAGACCAGTTAAATGAAATTTATTTAGAGACTAGTGAAAGTCTTAGGATAAAACCTGAAGATGTTTTTGGTGCGTCATATATAAAATCAGAGGTAACTATAATACTAATACAGTCAAAATGAGTAGTGCTAATGCTCATGAATTGTATGTGTGTTGTAGAATCTTATTACTATTCCAATCAATCCATTGGACAATAATCTAGATCAGTTAAGTACCTGATTATTTATAGAACATAATGCAGATATAAAAGGTAGGTTGGATGACATGTTTTTAAATTCATACTTCTATTTTTCTTTGTAGGTGAAAGATGAACTTACAGCAGAAGACATTGTATTGAGTAAGTATGAATATAATTATAGTATAGATTGAAATAATTTGATCACACAACTAACACTTCTATTACATAAATATTATGAGAAAAGTATTATGCATTTGAAGATGGAAATTGGTTACATTCATGTGAACATTAACTTTTATTATCTATTATCTTTTAATATGTGTTGTATTCACAGGTGCAATAAATAATGATAATAATGCTTTAATTGAACATGATCATTTTAATAATTATTCGAATGAAGACAGTGAAGACAGTGTTAATGATGATGACTGCATGGATAATGTTACACTTGCCAGACTAAAACAAGAAAAAAATAATGAAGAACAGCCAGATAAAACAGATAAGAGACTCTACCAAAAGAAAAACACTTTTAAAGATTCTAAAGAAGTGGAAAAAGTTCTTCAAAAGTCTGATTTGAAAGTAAAAGATTTTGTTAAGTAAGTATTTAAATGCATTGATTAAATAGAGCTGTGGATATGTTAGGGCAGATAAAACCAGATTGCTATAAAACACCAGTTTTCCCAATAGTGGATGGGACAGCAATATGATAAAAAAAGTTGTATAAATTATACTTTTTAACAAGTTCATAAATTTTAAAGAATATTCACTACTAGTTTTGCTACATAGTAATTTTTCATATTTTTAAATAAATTAACCAAAAACACGATTTTCCAATATTTGTGGTCTGTCTCACGTCAAATGAAACACCAATCAGAGCATGTGACATAATTTATGGGTAAATTAGTAGTAAAACTGTCTAGAATAGACATGGGAAACATTCAAATGCAAAATAATCTTAATGATTTATTTGATTAATAACTAACCAACTAACAAGGGTATGTTTACTGTTTTATTTAAAAACTTGCAAAGAGTTTAAATGTCATATTGCAGACTATTTTTTGTTTTCACTGAAAATCGCTGTGTCTCATAAATGACGTCACGTACTCCGAGTCGCCATTTAAACAGTTTTTTTTAAACAGTTAAATTTATTAAACATAGTTTTGGATTCATAATGAGATTTATTTACATAAAATAAAAGAGCCCATAATTTTTTTAAACAGTTTTCAGAATGTTGTCTGATCCCGTATTCTCAATCAGTTTTGCCCTTTCAACAGATTGAAATTTTGCGGTTTGAAATTGATTATAGAGATTTTTATAAATAGTAATCTATTGTGATGTTAACTGTGCTTATTTTTACTAATAAGATTAAAAAATGCCTCAAAAAAATTAATTAGCCCATATGGCATTGACCAACTTAAACAACTAAAGAAACGGGCTAGATATTGCATATCTCACTTGATCATTTTATCCTCTAGCTAGAGTAATAGACTTGGATTGGAATGGTTGTTATGATAAAGCCAAGTTACCTTTACTTTTATCATACTAGAAAACTAATCATGTCACATGTAAAGTTTAAGGAAGACTAGAATTCTTTAATGAAAAACTATAAGTAATTCTTGTTTATTACGGAACCCTAAAAAAGCTTTAAAAATCACCAGCTCCACCTGGAGCCGAATGGTACTTACCATGAGCACCCACAAACTTCTGCAATCCCGGTGGCTGCTCTAACCATTGAGCTACACGAGACCCAACAGGTCTGACGACTTTTTCTAGCACTTTTACTTTTACCACTAGTGCGCGTATTGTGAATGCTCAGATAATCCACCCAAACTATTTAGGTACACTACGATTTTAGTTTATTAATTTTTTGTCTTGATATTTTTCTTCTGAATGTGAACCAACTTCCTATTCAGAGAATAATATTGATAAAGTTCTCATCTTATTTATCCACCCCTGGTAGTACAACAGAAATCCTCTTGTTTCTTCCCTTGTAACTTCGCTCAAAATCCATGTTGATGTCACCTGAAAATAATTTAATTGAAATGAAACATTCAACACTACAACAATTTCAATTTAAGTTCATTAAATTATTTAAAAAATAAAAATATTTTCTAGATTGCAATGTGATATTTGTGAACAGAAAATGAAATCATGGAGTGAATTACGAGTGCACTTCTATAAAACACATAGAAGTAAACCATCACTTAACTGCATATGTGGTTTTGTCGTTAGATCTAAGAGTGTCCTTTACAAGCATGTGTCCGATCACAAAGTAAGGAAGTCCAAGAATAATCAAGAGGACGCAAAATGTGAATTAGACTCCAAGTATTCCAACCTGAAAATAAATGATTTTGTCACGTAAGTGTTTATAGGCAAATATAATAATACCAAGAGGTAACTTATTTCTAAATTGTACGAAATTTTTTTTTTCTTGTCAGGTTCACATGTAATGTTTGCGAGAAAAGGTATAGCAGCTGGTATAGCCTGAAAAGTCATACTGAATCCAGACACAAAATAGCACCTGTAGTCCAATGTGTTTGTGGTATAACACTTAAATCCAAATCTGTTCTTTACAAACATATACAAGACCATAAAAATCCAAATATGCTTTGGTAAGAATATATTATATATATTTATTAAATATTTACACTTACATTGTATGTATACAAATATAGATTTATTTTTGATATATTTAGTATGAAATATTGTTTCAAGCACTTTTTATGACCGAGTATTAATAATAAGTACTACCTTATAAATTATCCTTATTTTTCAAAAAAAATATATTTCGACTAATGAAAAAGTTCTTAAATATATGATGACTTGGTAAAAAAAAGTCAGTCAGTTAAATAATAGAAAAATAATATTATAATTTTTTCAGTAGAGATAATATTTAATATGTTTACAGTTGCGACAAATGTCCCAGAATAACGAAAACGGTAGAAGCTTTAAATAAACATAAAATGAGACACATACCTAAATCAGAAAGACAATTCATTTGTGCCACTTGTGACAAAATTTTTGTTACAAAAGATGCACTGAAGTCTCATGAAAAGTCACACATTCCGATTGAGGAGAGGAAAATATATCACTGTGATGTGTGTGAACTAAAGTAAGTGTTTCTAAATTATACATATTTCGAAGATATATCTAGATTTTTTTTTATGTAAATGTTAATTTTTTTCAAAATAACAAAAAGGCAAAATTGCCATGTCATAAAATGATCACTGTGGTTTTTCCATTTTTTCTCTGTTATTTTTGGGTGGTTTGTCCTTGACCGTCATAGGTCAAAGTGCTTTTGTAATCACCCCTAATTCTGCTCATAAGCGACGGCACATGTACAATGTACAGTATCATAAAATCGTCCAGTTCAGCGTCTGGGATATCCAAGAGTACTGCAGAATCGTAGTAATCCCATCAGAAACTCTTATTGTATTTGCATTGCAATGAGGAAGTATTAAAAAAAAAAAAATAAGTTCCGAAATTAAATTTTCGGTTTTTTAATATGTTAGATAAAAGGAACGGAAATGACTATCTTTGGTCCATTCGTTTCCTGCAAAAATCAACTTTTGCTAGGGTCGCCATCTAGTGGAGGTGCTTTTTTTGGTTATTTCTTTTTATTTTTAAATACTTCCTCATTAAAAGTTAATGATTCTTGTACAGATTCACAACACGTTCGTCGGCAGCTTCACATAAACGCGTAGTACACGATAAGATTAAGAGTTACGTGTGCGATTTGTGTGGATACGCTTGCGGTACCAACGGTGAATTGCGCCAGCATCGCGCTATCCATAGCGATGACAAGCCCTTCGTATGCAAGACTTGCTCCAAACCGTAAGGATTTATTCACGTTTAATTTAACTAACTAGTATATAATCGCGTAAGTGGCGGATCAAGTAAGCTGTTAATTGTTATTGAGGATGTTAATTCACTAAAGTAAAAGTATACATAAGTTTATGTTGTAGTTCTTTCTTTGATTTAGTAATGCGCATTGATAGATTATTAGAGTAGGAGAAACATATAGCTGCCTGTAAGTGAAAATATAAGGTATTTAAAAAGAGAGGGTAGATCGCAGTCTCTTTTGTCACGTATGCATAATAAATTATATATATATATATATATATATATATATATATATATATGAATGTAAGTTTATTTGTTTACAGTTTCAAAACCCACTCGAATCTAAAAACTCACATGGACACCCACGAAGATACATCGTATCAATGTTACGTTTGTAATCGCGTACTGAACAGCAGGCGTACGTTACGCAAACATCTGTTGGTACACGAGGAGAAATGTCGTCACGTGTGCTCCTTCTGTCACAAAGCCTTCAAGAGACGGCAGACGCTTAAGGTGAAAAAATATTAATTTTGTACATGTACTAGCTATTAGAATTATATGCAATCGGGTCTTGTTCGTGCATTTTTTTAAACAATTAATTTACCTCGATGTTTCGGCTACGTTACAGCAGCCGTGGTCACGAGGAGACTGGAGAACTGGCGTGTGTGCTATTTTCTCGCGCGTAAATTATAGCCTATGTCAACCTAGCATGATGTCGCTACCCCTAAGTGAAAGAATTTTTAAAATTGATTTAGTAGCATTGGAGTCTATTTGATGCAAACAAACAAATAAATCTTTCCGCTCTTTCTAATACTAGTATAGATAAAAAAGTTATTCTGTTATGTAAGTCCTTTTATGTGAACCCTGCCAGTCAACTAGTATCAATGCGTGAAACATGGTTATAAATGTGTAGCTTGATTCAGGAACCCGTTAATCCTTTATACGTTACCCATTTCTTAAAACATTTTATATGGATTAAACCCAAAACTATAACTGAAAGGAAGTGATAGAAAATATGTTAGCTGTTGGGCAGCGTACCTCTGCATTCAGAATTACATTTCTGTCAAACTAAAAAAAGACCTTATTTATGAAACTGGTATGGTGTATATTAACAAAATAATCCTAAACTTTTGGCGTAGAGTCATTGTCCTAACTCTGTCTATGGTTTTGTTTATAATCTTGTCAATGTAAAATTGTTAAAATAGGTGCATCTATACACCCACACCGGTGACAAACCGCTAACCTGCAAGTGGTGTGATGAACGGTTCGCTTATGCATCGACGCTGCGCTCGCATCGCTTACGCTGTCACCCAGACAAAATGGCTGCGCAAGCGCACAACAATCCTTACACAGCGTACGGCCACGTCCCAACGTCTATTGCTGTGTCGATGCCGATGGCACAAGATGTGAGTTCAAAATTAGACCCGTAACTAAAAATCAACAACAGGGCACAGTTATAATCCCCGCAAATTGCTAATGCGCATTGCGGCCATTTTGATGACGTAATTGCGTTTAAAAATCAGTACCGTTAACAAATAACTATTGATTGACGTGTACACTTAATAATTTGGTTTGTGTTGAGATCACACGGTTTTTGTTGTTTTTGTTGGTTTCGATTGTTATTGTCAAGTTTTGTTACTACTTGTTATGGTTGACTAAAATAGCAACTGATATTATGATTTTCACAGTAAGTAAACATAATTCAAATCAATATCAAAAGGGTTTAGCCGGATACGTATGACGAGTCGGCCCCCAAATGGGAATCGATATTGAAACTTATGTTTTTAATATAGACTTGATGTTCAAACACGATTTATGTACTTTTCGCGACCGACTTCCGCTTTAACCTTGAGATAGAGAGCAAAATATCCGTATGCTTGACTATTACTGAATGTGATATATCTCTGAAGCTAATTAAGATAAAGAAGTGAAACTAACGCGAGGTGTTAGGTTACATTACAGAGTATATCACATATATTTTTTTATAATTTTTAGAATAAAAAATTACGTTAAAAGAATAAAAATAAAAAAAACATGTTTTTTTTTCTGAGTTCTCTGTGACTTACAATCACGAAATTAATATATGTTATGCTCCTTTGTTAATATATGTTATGAAAAAAAAGTTGGTGCAACACAACGAAAAAAAATTATAGGGGAGACCTAGGTGAGTTGTGACAGAGGTGAGTTGTGACAAGGAGGATTTCTCTCTACGTATTATAGTAAGCGAGATGGCATTAACGCTTGTTTGTCGTTCTCGACACGCGCTACACGACTCAGTACCTGTCGACGATGCATGTGGCACAGTTGTGTAAATATATCGTCAGTGTACAAAAAATTACGAATAGTAAGTTTTTCTTCAAAATTTTATTTGAATATATATCATATCTTAGTATATGTGCATTGATGTGTTATATTTTCTTAAGTTATGTAGTTATTTAAGTCTCAATACGTGGCACTGATTTTTTGTATGCGCATCGTGTTTAGAAAATATGAATTATTATTCGGACCAGGACGTCATTTTGAACACCTAGGCGAGTTGTGACAGCCTGTCACAACTCTCCTATCTTACTCCATATTTCTGCTGGGCTATTTTTACAATTTTTTTATTAACTTTAGATGGTTGTTGGTGTGTTAGTAGCTACTTAAGGTGTATAATGGCATACCGCATACTTATTTTTTTTTTGAGAATGCCAAATAACTATACACGAGAGACTGAAAATCTAAGAATGTTCAGAAGGGTGTCTTAAGCGAAGAAAAAAAAGAAACCTAAAAAAGCAAAGAAGACTAATAAGAAGAATAGAACAAGTGATGAAGAAGATGCAGAAAATAATTGCTTTTATTTGGTTTGCCTTGAAGCCTATGCAGACAGCAGATCGAATGATCAGTGGGTCCAAAGCCTGGAATGCAAAGGCTAGGCACACGTAGATTGTACTGGGAACGAACTGCATTACGTTTGGCATAATTGCGAATCTGATTAGATTAAGATTTTATACTGATGAGAATATTCTCATAACAAGTAATTATAATATTATCATTAACTAAATATGGTATCGCTTTGAGATCAATCATATTATTGTAGTATTAATATTATGTTGTTTTAGTTGGTAGGTATTAAAAGATGATTAATCAAATCAAATCAAATCAATCTTTATTGTTGATCGCAGGTTATATAAAGATATTGGATGCAAGGACTGAATAGTTACACCGTGATCTGCCTAAAAGGCATACAATATTAGTAGGTTGGTAATTGTCAACTAATCTAATCAATAACATGTTATGTAAAAAATTCAACTAATTCATTTAGTACATTTACAAAGCACTGTCAGCTAGATACTCGTTTAAACTATAATATGTTTTAGCTACTAATAATTTACAAAGTTTTCTTTTAAAAACATTACAATTAGCCAGATTACGTATTGTTTTTGGAATTTTATCAAACATTTTTGGAGCCATACAAAAGATACTTTTGTTCAACAGAGCTGTCTAGAGGGTATCGTACACAATCTCGTCTTATTTTCAAATAGTTGTTGATCCTGTTTGACAAAAATACCAACTTCGAATATATAGATCGATGGCAGGGTCATAATATTTAATTTAATAAAATATGCTCCTAACACATTTTTTATGGGCTCTAAAGGCAGTTACAGAATCATTCGAATATCCCCAAAATATAATGCCGTATCGAACAGTAGAAACTACGTACGCGTGATAAGCTGAAAGGACCGTGCACTGATTCGCGATCCTACTAAGTTTGTACAGTGCACAAGAATACTGGGACAACTTTTTGCAAACATGTTCAGTGTGTGTTTTCCAAGTCAAATTTATTATTATAGTACTGATTAAAGTACTGATTTGATAAAAAAACGTGCTTGATTTATTAATGTCGTATGTAATGGTATTTTTATATCTTATAGCTTAAATACAATGATGTCACAACTTACCTCGGTACCTGTCACAACTTACCTCGGTGGTAGGAGAGTTGTGACAAGGGGAGTGGACTTGAATTTTGTTATTTTTTTCAGAAACTATTATACTTTAATCAATTTTAGTGATAGTTTTGAAAACAGAAGGAATGGCGCTAAACTAATTCACATGAGTCATAACTGTGGAATGTTTCTTAAGCGAGATAGAGCCCCTTATGTAAAAATTGTCACAACTCTCCTAGGTCTCCCCTATGTGATTCGCGCCTTGTAGTGTGAGTGTATAAACAAACAAGTTCGAACTTGTTATCGAGCTGTTTACTGCATCGTTTGTTTAGCTAAAGTAGCAGTCATTTTTATTACACAAGAAGGCAGTTTGGGACTCAAATTCTGTCATAGGTATTTTGTATCAGCATTTTGAAATTATTAACTATCGAACCAAATCATTATTAAGTAATAATGTCGAGAAAGTGTAAAAATTGTAACAAGTACCTGTGTAAGAATCCTGGTTATAAAAAAATTATAAAGAATGAAGAAGAAGCTAAAGTGTTTAGTGACTGTTTGAATAAAATCGTAATAGTTAATGATATTTTTTGTAAGAAGTGTCGACTTATCCCATATATTAACAAAAAAGCTTCTACTTCTAAATGAGCAGCATTTAACTTGGCCGAAATAATGGACGATCAAAATAATCTCTCAGTACAATATGTGAAATCAGCACCTAATATCATCAAAGCAGAAGTAAAATCAAGACATATAAATAGAAAAGTCTATCGAATTTACATTCACTATATTTCCGAAGGTAATGACTACAATAGTATTCTTCGTTATTGCTGTGATTGCCCCAATGGCAAACGTACAGTGGGATGCTGTTCTCATGCAGCAGCTATTATTTATTATCTATCATATGGATGATATTTGTCCAAAATCGTACGTCCTGCTGAGGTCCTAACTAAGTTATTTGCGACTCAAAGTGTTCCGATTGTAATTAATTACAACAGTGACGATGATTAATATTTTGTTTCTTGTATTTTGATAGACACGAAAAAGTAATAATAATAAGTATTGAACACTGGCTGTTTTTTTTTTCATTTCTTTTTTAACTATTATCCCATCTCTTAAGACTAGTTACTTATGTTTTAAAACAAGCTGATGTGAAATTTCGAAAAAAAAACAATGATGTAATGTGAAAACCTTATAATACAGGGGTATACCATAAGACAGAAATCACATATAATTTTTTTTCGTTGTGTTGCACCAACTTTTTTTTCACACAATTTTTATGGGTAATAGAGCACACAAAGGAGCATAACATATATTAATTTCGTGATTGTAAGTCACAGAGAACTCAGAAAAAAAAACATGATTTTTTTATTTTTTATTTTTTTAATGTAATTTTTTATTCTAAAAATTATAAAAAAATATATGTGATATACTCTGTAATGTAACCTAACACCTCGCGTTAGTTTCACTTCTTTATCTTAATTAGCTTTAGAGATATATCACATTCAGTAATACTCAAGCATACGGATATTTTGCTCTCTATCTCAAGGTCAAAGCGGAAGTCGGTCGCGAAAAGTACATAAATCGTGTTTGAACATCAAGTCGATATTAAAACATAAGTTTCAATATCGATTCCCATTTGGGGGCCGACTCGTCATACGTATCCAGCTAAACCCTTTTTATTATTTTTACTGTATTATATAAATACATTTTACTGATAATATAAATACATTTCACTAATAATCAACATATCTAATATTTTTCATTGGATTATTACATGTCATATTAAAAAAAAAATCCTTTCCCTTTGTTATTATAAGTTTGTAATATACAAAGTAAATGTTATTGTTTTCCAATTGTTTTTATTTTCCATATACCTCAATATTTATATATAAATTGGATTTATTTCCAAAAAATCAAGCTGCTATAAGTTATAAAATTATCATACCAATATTTTGGGGATTATTTGTAAATAATTTATCTCTTGCCTTTAGTGCTATCTATACTCTCTATTTTCATATGACGTCACGCACGTGTTATTTACACAAGGTTCCAGCGCGTTAGCAATTTACGGGACTTATACAAATACTGTATAATACATAGTGTATAATAGCTTTATTCGCGTTCTGAAAATCTAATATCGGCGCTTCCACTGAACGCCGCCGTAAGAGTGAACAATGTAAACAAACTGGACTGATCAAGTCAACCGCCGAACGAAGCCTTAACGTATGAAGAGTGAAATTAAAAGATTTATTTTGTTTCAGGACTTTGATAAAACTGATGTTACTTCCGATCTCGTGGCAATTAAGAAAAGAGAAGAGGCTATGCAGAATTAGGAGTAGTGTCAGCTATAGATGTACTGTCTCTAAGTTGTCTTTCATCACTTTTACACTTTATCATAAGTATAATTAATACAATTGATAATTTTATTTAAGAAATAGACAATTTATCTGAATTTTATTTGTTTAATTTTATGACTTACCTTATTTTTTCATTAAAATTCTACTATATTAAAAGGTGCCACTTCATTGAAGGACGAAGAGGAGTTGCCGGATAAAATCCGACCCCGTTCCTTTTAGCATAATTCTATTAACTAAATTATATTTAGTTATATAATTATATCTCTAGGGATGTAACTATATGTATTACAGCTTGTTATTACAACTATACTACAGGATGTGACCTACAATCGACAAAAGAACAGGCCATTAGTACCTTGTCATGTTCACCAGCTATTAATTTTATTAATATCCATAGCCTGTCATATCAATTCGTCATGATTATTCAACAGTTGAATAGTAATTTTAATAATTCTGATTAAACTGTTGTAGCTAAAATGCTCTTTATAACTGTCTCTAATTAATCACTTTTTAAACTTTAAGTTTTATAAATTCATGGGTAATCGAACTCGGGACGTTTGAGATGGCTACACTTCACTATGGTGAACCAATCGGCGTTTGTAGTCAAATAATACAAAAATTTTTATGTCTATAAATACATTTAACCAACATTAAAAAAAAAAGTAAATATATTAAATATTAAACAACATCACATACATTGCTGAGATTCTAAGATGAGTTGCTAAAGCCCCCGTACCACAATACCCAGACCCGCAACAATATCGAAAACTCCTTTTTCTACATTGACCCGGCCGAGAATCGAAGATGCACTTTGAAAAACCGACGCACGATTCATTTTGATACGAAGATCATAACATAGACTTGCCACTGCGAAAGTTACAAGCACTTGCGAGACTCGAGAGCCCCCTATGGCTAAGCCCTCGTCTCCGCACGCTCGATCCGTAAGCAGCCCGATAGTGAATTTCGGGCTTATATTCCGTCCGAACAGTTGATATGATTTTTTTATTTAAATGCATCTTTTAATATAATGACTTCTTCTTGATTAATAAAAATCAATAATTTCGTAAATTTAGTTTTACCAAATTATCATCTTTAGATTGCTTTATCGTTCTGAAAGCAGTATAAAGTTTTCTTTATTCGATATTGACTAGATAGGGGCATATTTCCAAGATTAATTTTCGATACATCGTTAACTTGATCGTGCTCAGTCCTACTCTGGCATAAAATATAGGACATTGGAACGAGACAGACGATATATCGAATGTCGATTTTAAGAGGATAGCGAAACTATCGCTTACCTACTTAGATTTCAGCAAATTTCGTTTCGATGAGTCAATTTCTAATGAATAAATATTTCTTTTAGAATCATTTACTACCAGTAAAAACGATAGTGAATTTCGGGTTTATATTCCGTCCGAACAGTTGATATGATTTTTTTATTTAAATGCATCTTTTAATATAATGACTTCTTCTTGATTAATAAAAATCAATAATTTCGTAAATTTAGTTTTACCAAATTATCATCTTTAGATTGCTTTATCGTTCTGAAAGCAGTATAAAGTTTTCTTTATTCGATATTGACTAGATAGGGGCATATTTCCATGATTAATTTTCGATACATCGTTAACTTGATCGTGCTCAGTCCTACTCTGGCATAAAATATAGGACATTGGAACGAGACAGACGATATATCGAATGTCGATTTTAAGAGGATAGCGAAACTATCGCTTACCTACTTAGATTTCAGCAAATTTCGTTTCGATGAGTCAATTTCTAATGAATAAATATTTCTTTTAGAATCATTTACTGGTACTAATAGTAAAGTCTAAATTCACAAACTAAAAAGTTATACTATGTTTAAATCAGCGGAAAAACAATCATTCAGAAGGTTTTTCTGTGTTCAATAGGTATTATATTTATTAAGTAAGTAAACGAAAAAAAATAAAAGAAGTTGTCTCCACCCCCGTTATGAACCAATTTCAATCAATCTAGCTGTTTCCCCGCGACTTCGCCTACATAAATTATAGCCTATGCCCCCGCGTATTAGCTTCCAGTAGATGAAAGAATGTTTTTCAGTAGATGAATTTCGGAGCTTATGCAATGCAAACAAACTGTAAAGGTGTGTCGTATCACACTGTTTCATTTTGTCCTAGGTTGACGCCAAACTTTTTGTCTTTGATCTTTAAGATTATTTCTTCTTTATTATTCGCTTTTCGCAATTTGAAATTTTGATAATACCAAATAGTTTGTTCAAAATACGAAAAAAAAACATTAAGCTCATTTGTTGAAACTTATTCATTGTGGTATGAGTTAGTCTGTATAAAATTAATTTAATAAAAATAATATCCAAAATGCTAAGGAGATCTTGATGTACCAAATACTTCAGTTTAATTGAAATAAAACTTTCTTATAACAAATACGAATTTGATTATACCAACTTGATTGCCAAAAATTTTATCTGAAACGTAACGTTAAGTGTAAACGCAAACATTGAATTAAAAATTTTGGTTTACCCATTAATTATAAAGTAATAATTTGATGATATTTATCATAAAAAAGCAAATGAAATTACTCCGTTTTCATTATAAACATTATCGGACTAAATATGCGAAAAAGATTTGCACTTTTTTCAAGAACATTAACTCAACTCAGACTCCACAAACAAAACATTTTCATTAACCAATTCGCAAAAAACTGAGTTATTTCATACTACCTAAAATACAGTACCGTGACATAACAGTAGAAAGTGATTAACTGTGTCACATTGTACGCCTCAGAGAGATCTTTGACAACATAATAAAAACAATTTCTAATTCGATTTATACGTATATCAAATACCCAAATAAAAATGCAACTACTAACCGTTGTTCTGTGAGGTGAGATGCTACAGCAAAAATTGACACGAACGCCACCTTTTCTCCACTATTCAGCGACTAGCGGTCCGTTAATAACACAAATACTCACGTGAATTTGCAATAGCAACTTTAAACTAATTTGCACTTGCGGCGCGAATCCCAAATCTGGTGTCGGAGCGGACGGCTCTAGGACAACATTATATAGGTTTCTTTTATTTCTTTAACTAATTCTTTTAATTATTTGTGAGCAAATGGAAATGCTAGCGAATGCTTATAAATTTTATCAGTTATTGAACACTTAATCAATATTTAAAATATTAATTCTGATTTAGACGTTTATAGTTACACAATAATAATAAAAGTATAAATAATGAATTATTGGGCCACGATCAGTACACATTACGTTTCAAAAACGAATGCCAAGTTTCAGTTGGGTATGCAACCCGAGTACCCATAGTTCTAAAAAAAATGTCATAAATAATTCTTAATGAGCTGGTCGTGTGAGACGTATGCACAATATCACCCTTGTTCCTAGAACGTCACTCATTAGGTTAAGTGGATACTTGAACTTATATTCGAATAGATTTTAATACGTCCCTTTTACAACCTCTAATATAAAGTAAAACAATGTTAAAAAATATAACGTGTTTAAGTATTTTTGGATTTAGCGGCCGCTAGATTGGTTCCGAAAGGTAGCTATATAAAATTTTCTCTTGAATCACTCTGTATATGAAAACCGCATGAAAATCCGTCGTGTAGTTTTAAAGATCTTGACATACGTTATTTACAGTAATAACGACTTGAATTATAATGTATGAACATGATGAAAATAAGCTCTGTAGGAGCGAATAAATAACAAGTGCTTGAAAAATTCGTCAGTTCTGTTAGGTCCTGGGTAGCTTAGTGGTTAGAATAGTCGCCCGGATTACCAATAGTCATGGGTTCGAATCAAATGTCAGAATACCAGGGATAAAATGGATTTTTTTAAAAACAATATTGTAACAAGGTTTAGAAAAAAAGTGAAAATATATAATATGTATGTTTGTATTTATTCTGCGCTGAGGATCTGTGCAGAGATAAGGGCCGTCACACGTCAGCGGGCTGGCGTGAAGCCAAGTGGGGATAGCGCGTCCCCACTTCACCATTTTACGTTATTATGTAACATGTTTCACATTGATTAGCTCGGAGGTTTAGTGAATAAGTGCCGCAACCCTCGATGATTGTTGTTAAGTAACTTTCGCAAGGGTCGGTCTCGGGATGGGTGACCAAAAAATTATTATATCGAGCTACTCCGTGCTTCAGAAGGCACATTAAGCCGTTGGTTCCAGCAACATTTGTAGCCGATTATACCCCCCAATCCGCATTGGGTCAGCGTGGAGGGTCATGGCCCATACTCCTTAACCATAAAGAAGGCCAGAGCCTCTGCAGTAGGGACATAAAAGGACTGATAGTGATGAAAGTGATGTAACATGTTACCATTATCGAACCGATACAATTTAGCACATTTTTAACTCACAACAATGTGTATTTTGTACAATTTTTTAAGAATTTTTACCAACGCCGGTCAAAATGTATCGTCCTAAGAATGTCAAGCCATTACAATTGTTCAGTGAGTACAAATAACGCACGTGCATAGCGATACCAAGGGGCTTTAAAACATAGGTGAGTTAAATTAACCATTATTTCTCGAAAAATATAAAAGCCGTTAGCAATTTGATATCATCGCATATTAACTGGTTACCACACCGTAAGGATGCCACATGCACGATACCAACAAAAGACTACATTGTAATAATTCAATAATTATTGTAAAATACTACTTACAACAAATGGTTAGATTTGTATTATTTACTTTGATTTGATTGTATACAATCTACAGATTAAGTGTGAGAAAACTTTTAAAGAGAGTTTTGGGAAACTAAATGTAATTTTCAATGACAAACCGCCACAAAAACAAAATAGTTTCAGTTACATGAGAAACCCAGTTTTGTATATAAATCATTAAACGATTCAGATAATAATACATCTGCATTCGGTGGTAAAACCTTTTTAATATAATAGAATAGAAACATGTTTCTTTACTGATCTATCATCCTATCCTATCCTATTAATATTATAAAGGCGAAAGTTTGTAAGTATGGATGTATGGATGTTTGTTACTCTTTCACGAAAAAACTACTGGACGGATTTGGATAAAACTTTACAGCAATATAGGTTATACATCAGAATAACACATAGGGTACTTTTTACTGGGAAAACTTCTCACTCCCACGGGATACCGACTTC